CGCCGCCCCCGTGCCGTCCCCGTGCCGCCCCCAGGTCGATACAGGCTGCAAGTGCTGTGTGGGCGGCCCGGCGGGCCCGGCGCGGCTGGGCGAGTGAGTGAAGTGGGCTGATTGTGCAGGGGATAGCGGCGTGGAGGTGATTGCGGGCAATAACGTTGACAGAGTCGCCACGCGGCCCCGCCCCGCCCCGACACACTCGGCACAGGACAGGGCCTCCTGTAAGTGCACTCCAGGTCGGAGTGATTGTCCTCCTGCTAATGGCAGATCGGCTGGCCTCGCCTGCTGGGGGGCTGCACAAGAGCGGACTGTACTTACATACATTCCCACGCACCCTGAAGCAGCGAGAATGGTTCACTTTTCATCAAACTTTGCGCGTTAGACGATGTGCTGGTATCGTTGCAGAGGGTGTCCCCGGCGTCCCTATGGCTCCTGCCATATGTTGTGGGGTTATTCTTTCTTTCCCTACCATCGCGCCTTAGTTACGGCGCCGAGCAACCCACCCACACGCTCTAGAAGTTTCTTACAAAGAACTGCTTGTAATGCGAAGACGAGACCACGTGTCTGTCCACAGACTGGTGTTGTTTTGTAATGCGAAGAAAATCCGTTTGTAATATGGCTCCAGATCTTTTGTACGGAAGGGACTTATGGGACCTGTAGTTAAATATGACAACACGTGTGCAAATGATATGAACCTATCAAGATATTTTTAACGAGTTTAATATTTGAAATGTACCACAAATCAATCATTAGCAGGGAAAAAATGTGTCACGGATAGCACCTGACTGCGTGTTGCTCGAGGTGTTGCTAGTTATAGGTCGTCTCAGGCAACAATGCAATTTGTCGTTTTGCTCGTTACTTCGAGAGTGGTAGCGGCGCCGAGTTTGACTTCAGGTCACAGTATTGTATATACCTTTTTAATGTTAAAAGTTCCATTTCTGATTTTATTTCTTTATTCAGCTGCTCCATTTTTATTTTCCTACAAATGGAGGGGGTGGGGGATGGTGCTGGCCATCAAAGGCCCTCTGTCCCAGTCCGACTACACTACAAGGGCCGTGATTCACAGCGACATCAAAACCGACTCCGGAGCGGGGGAGTGGGGCGGGGAGAGGGAAGTGGCGTTTGGT